CAATTTGTAAGTAACCAAGATTTAAAAAAATTAAAAAAAAAAAAAGAAAAACTCAAACCAATATCAAGTACAAACAGTTAAAGTTCATGCTAACCTTGGATTTTGACTTTTTGGAAGCTTTCTTATCCACTTCTTCTTTTTTGTGTCTTGCTTCCTCCAACTAAAACCATAAGTAATAAGTGTTAAAACCAAAACAAACCAAGCCAAACAAAACAAAATTATATATAGTGTTGAATTGTAAAACCAACCTGAACAAAATGAAGATAATGTTTGTTAAACAACCTCAAAATTCTACATGGACATCTTTGCCAACAACAAAAACCATTTCCTATTCCAAGTCATCAACAATGTTTTCGTTATAAGCAAATAAACCTAAAGAAAGAACTTAAGAAAATATATCATAAAAATACTTAAACAAAAACACAATAGCATCAGGGGGATAATAGAAGAACAAATTCATTGATAACCTCCTTAGCCCGAATTCCTAAGTAATAAGTAAAATCATCTAAAAGCATTTTTATCCATTTCAATCAATAATAATTTTTCAGTCTACTATCATTTTAACTCATAAATCAATAGTAAGTAATCAAGATTTAATAAAATCAAAAATTAAAAAAAAAAAAAAACTCAAACCAATATCAAATAGAAATAGTAAAAATTCATGCTAGACTTGGATTTTGACTTTTTGAAGCTTTCTTTCCAGTTCTTCTTTTCTGCATCTTGCTTCCTCCAACTAAAGCCGTAAGTAATAAGTGTTAAAACCAAAATAAATGAAACCAAACAAAACAAAATTATATACGTGTTGAGATGGTAAAACCAACCTGAACAAAATGAAGATAATGTTTGTTAAACAACCTCAAAATCTCCTTCACTTTAGCATGGTCACTTTTTTTAGTCAAGTTTACAACATGTTCCCTTTTATCAGCTAGGTTAATAGCTTACCATTCACAGATTTGTAAACCACATGGTAACAGCTAGTTGAAAAACTTGAAAAATAATATAGGTATTCAAAAATGAGAATATAAATTCATATGAAAATTAGAAATAGCCAAATATGTGAAATATAGACATAGGAAACCAAAGGTAAAACCTTCGAAATAGGTTCTTCCTCTCCCACAATTCAGCAAAGGTCTAGCCTAAAAATATGAGCACATAAAAGAATCTATATTATGTAAATTTCAATGAAAACTATGAAGAAAACATATTGACATTAATGAGAGACAAAAACTTACATATGGTAGAAAACAATCACTCATGTCAATGAATACAATTCATAGTTGTCCATGTTAGTAACATAGCTGCAACGACTTTGTTTTACTACTCAAGGTGGTGATATCTTTTATATATTTACTTAATTATAAGCTTGCATAGTGTTCTTCCTATTTGTTTTCTCAGTTTCTTCCGCTGAACCGAACGAAGATAGTTTCTCTCCTCTTTGTACCTAATACACTTATCTCTTCTCTTTCACTCTCTTTCTTCATTCAGGAAAGGTGAAGATTGAATTAGGAACAGAAAACAAAGCGAGAACAGACTTGTCCTTTGGTCGAGTTTGCTTCACTTCCTGAGCCTTCACCACTTCTTACGACAACTAACAAGGGGCATTTAGGACAACTCGTTCATTTAGCATAACTTCATTCCTTTCGAGCCTCTCTTTGGAGAGTCCCTTCTTTCCAATCAATAAATAAAGTGCTAGCTCGCTATGTTAGAGTAGGTGCCCTAAAGCCAATCAATTATTGTGGAATTGACTCTTTGAAATAATGTTTATTAATCAATAAAAAGGCATTATCCACTATATCACGTAAATCATATTATGTGTATTGATATATGTCCTAATTAGGATGGTAGAACCGTGACGAGGGTATCAAGTATTTCAAATCTTGATAGTAAGAACCTTATTATCACATATGGTGGTCATTCTAGAAATGTCCGTAGCTCCAGTATTATTCTGACCAAAGACACAGATAATACGGTAAGGGTATCATAGTGTTGAACGACCCTGTCAAAAGGCAATGATTGATCTCATTTGTCAAGGCTGTTTGCCGACAACCTGGTGTGACACATGGGTGCTTACTATAGGCAAGTTCACTAGACAGACCCACCAGAGGATTCCATATGGATGGTAACCCTAGTGTCTATGGAATAAATCCTCTAACGGATGGCGGTGCATGTGATCCTTAGACTTGAGATCACCGGAGAGTCTTGTGCACTAATTGGTGTAGTTTGACACTAGCCCGACGTAGTTCTATTCAGAGCTATCAATACAGTAGTGATTGGCTACATTGAGAAGTGTATCGAGACTGTGGTGGATTGACAAAGGATTCATCACTCCTGGGTACGGGAGAAGTTATCTCACTAGGTAATTCAGTAAATGGTCATGACACTAAATCTGTGGCCATAGTGGGATTGAGTTGATGCTCAATCCAATTTAATATTCATGTCATTGGTCCAGTAACTGAATACAAATATGTCGAGGATATCTGAGGTTGACACTATTTATGTACCTCAGTCTCGATGAGATAACAGTTGATGAAAGGATTTGATTGCACGGTAACCATATCATTGACAGGCTGCAGTTTCGCTGAATCCGAATCTATCGGGTGGCCATGATACCTTACTAGGGGTCAATCTTGGTCTGTATGTAGTGAGACGATTAATTAGTGTTAATCGCAATACTACACACTGCCGATATGATAAGGAGCCTACGAGTCACACACTTAGAAGATAATTTAAGGATCAATTTGTCAGAAGGGTATTTTCATCTTTCAGGATGAAAGGGTATTTTGGTAATCTCACAGTGCAATTAAATTTGCTGAGGTTGTTGCCTGTATTTAATTGTANAGTTTCTCTCCTCTTTGTACCTAATACACTTATCTCTTCTCTTTCACTCTCTTTCTTCATTCAGGAAAGGTGAAGATTGAATTAGGAACAGAAAACAAAGCAAGAATAGACTTGTCCTTTGGTCGAGTTTGCTTCACTTCCCAAGCCTTCACCACTTCTTACGACAACTAACAAGGGGCATTTAGGACAACTTGTTCATTTAGCATAACTTCATTCCTTTCGGGCCTCTCTTTGGAGAGTCCCTTCTTTCCAATCAATAAATAAAGTGCTAGCTCGCTATGTTAGAGTAGGTGCCCTAGAGCCAATCAATTATTGAGGAATTGACTCTTTGAAATAATGTTTATTAATCAATAAAAATGCATTATCCACTATATCACGTAAATCATATTATGTGTATTGATATATGTCATAATTAGGATGGTAGAACCGTGACGAGGGTGTCAAGTGTTTCAAATCTTGATAGTGAGAACCCTATGATCACATATGATGGTCATTCTAGAAATGTCCGTAGCCCCATTATTATTCTGACCAAGGACACAGATAATATGGTAATGCTATCATAGTGTTGAACGACCCTGTCGAAAGGCAGTGACTGATCTCACTTGTCAAGGTTGTTTGCCGACAACCTAGTGCAACACATGGGTGCTTGCTATAGGCAAGTTCACTAGACAGACTCACCAGAGGATTTCATATGGATGGTAACCCCAGTGTCTATGGAATATATCCTCTAACGGATGGTGATGCATGTGATCCTTAGACTTGAGATCACCGGAGCGCCTTGTGCACCAATTGGTGTAGTTTTACACTAGCCCAACGTAGTTCTATTCAGAACTATCAATACGGTAGTAATTAGCTACATTGAGAAGTGTATCGAGACTATGATAGATTGATAAATGATTCATTACTCTTGGGTACGGGAGAAGTTATCTCACTGGGTAATTCAGTAAATGGCCATGACACTAAATCTGTGGCCACAGTGGGATTGAGTTGATGCTCAATCCAATTTAATATTCCTGTCATTAGTCCAGTAACTGAATACAAACATGTCGAGGATATCTAAGGTTGACACTATTTATGTACCTCAGTCTCGATGAGATAACAGTTGATGAAAGGATTTGATTGCACGATAACCATATCGTTGACAGGCTGCAATTTCACTGAATCCGAATCTATCGGGTGGCCATGATGCCTTGCTAGGGGCCAATCTTGGTCTGTGTATAGTGAGATGATTAATTGGTGTTAATCGCAATACTACACATAGCCGATATGATAAGGAGCCTACGAGTCACACACTTAAAAGATAATTTAAGGATCAATTTGTCAGAAGAGTATTTTCGTCTTTCAGGACGAAAGCGTATTTTAGTAATCTCACAGTGCAATTAAATTTGCTAAGGTTGTTGCCTGTATTTAATTTTAATATTAGAATTAAATTAGTAAGATTATATTTAAATATATCTATGTATATATTTAAATGAATTATTATTATTAATTAACTATTAATATATTATTATATATATTAATTGATTTTAATTATAATAATATTAATTAATTAAAATACCATAAAGGGTGTGTTTGGTTGCAAGGGTGAACTAAGGTTGAAGCTCATGGCTATTCCTAAGTGGAATAGGATTTTAATTGTTGCACTATATAAGTGCAACTTAAAATTAAAACAAAGAAAAAGATTCATTCAATTAAAACCCTAGCCACCCAAAAGGTTCTCTCTCTCTCAGGTTTTCTTCTTCAAGTGAAGAAGAAAAATTTTCAATTTTGATTGTTCTTGAATCTTGATGCCAACAATTGTTCTAGCAAAATAATTGTCAGTTCTTCGGATTATCTTCGTGTGGACTTCTGTGAGTGTGATCCTATATTGGATCGATTAGTGAAGAATCATGTGAATAGTAGATGATGAACAGTAGATGGTGAACAGTAATCGGTGAACAGTATTCATGTCCGAAATCAGAGATATTTGGAGGAGCCTTCAAACGTCGGTATGAACTAAATCCTTGTATGGATTTGTTTTTAATACAGTTTTATTTTATATTCCAATTTATGTATGAAAACGTTATAATCTGTACTGGGATCTTGGTTTGTATAATTGATCAATTCGTTTTAAATATTATGTTTTTCCGCTGCGTTTGATAGATCAATTACTAACACGCTATTCATATTATTTCTACTTGACCGGTACTAAGAACTCCATTTTCAATGAATTCTGGTTCTGGGCGCTTTGTAGCGCCTACTTTCACATTTCTTCCTATGAAACTACTTGGTCCACTTCCATTTAGACTGAGATGGTTTTCTCTTTCGATGGATTGATTTGAACTTCCCCACTTCAACACTCGCAGGAAAGAAAGAAAAGACTTGAATCCTACTGAAGTTGCTAACAAAGACTAAGCAGGGATTGACCCATAAGATTTGTACACTTCGGCTTGGCACCTCCCTTTGGTTCGTGCTCGCACAGGCCGTTTCTCTGCCAATCTCGAATTCAAATCTTTGCTTACCCCGCAGGCCTTTCAGGATCGCTTTTGGAGCTCGCAACATTGAGTTTGATTCCCAGTTGATCCTTACTAATCCATATGAAGTTAGGTTAGCTATTTTCCTCAGTGGGGATAAGGAATTTCAAAATAGAAAACCTGAACGAAATGGGATTTAAAATAGGGCTTTGAACCAGCCCGAGAGACCACTTTTCTTTGAAGAAAGTCCCGTTTTAACGATTTATATAAATTTTAGTTTTGTTCAATTCTTCAAATAAAATACTTCTTGCCAAGCTTTATGTGCAAATCTGCATTGCTTTCAAGCTGTAGGAGAAATTTATAATGGAACGAGTCTTAAGTTAATGTGCTCGTGCCTGTTGTAAAAACAGAAGTTTGAATGAAAAACATGCTTTTGGACCTAACAATTCTGGTGCATGTGATAATAGAACGCAGGAGAATGTAGATTAACTGGATCTCGACAAGGTGATCAAATATAAAGAGTTGAATAGCTTAACCGTTCCAGTTGATATCGACTGTACCCTCAAACATCTAGATGATGTGAACACTTGGGAGGAAGTGAAATAGTTGAAAAGCATAAAAGAGTCAATAATGAGCTACAAGCCAGATTTGAGAAGATTATAAACAATAGTTGCTGCTAGTGAAAACGAGTTGGTACAAACTCTTATTGAACATCTGCCATTGAAGAAGGTAAGCGACTCTGAATCTTCTGAGAATAAGAAGGCTATTAATCTGTCATACCTAAAGTCACTAAAACTAAAAAAAAAAAATGGTGACTTGCCCCTGGGAGTTTTTACTAGCTCCAAGAAAAGGAATAATAGTTGGTACGGCCAAGAGCACTTGTAATTGTCACTAGTTGTCTTCTCTCTATCTTGTTTCTTTGTCGGAGTGCAGTTGGCTGTCATACTTTTATATGTTGATGACTCCAAAAAGTGAATAGCCAACTACTTCAACACACCCTGTATGATTCATGAGGTCGGGCCAATGAATAAAAAAATTTCAAATTCAGATAAAGAATGTGGTATTTGAAGAACTTATATGATTCCATGCTAGCTAAATACAGACAATGAAGCAAAGCTTCACTTTAGCATGGTCACTTTTATCAGCTAGGTTTACAGCATTATCATTTACAGACTTGTAAACCGTATGGTAACAGTTAGTTGAATAGCTTGCGAAATCATATAGATATTCGAAAATGAGAATAAAATTCATATGAAAATTAGAAATAATCAAACATGTGAAATATAGATATAGGAATCCAAAAGTAAAACCTGGGGAAGATTTTTATGTCTTACCATGTACTCTTGATAATTTAGAAGGGTACACACCTTTCCCCTTCAACCAATAATAATTTTTTAGCTTACTATCATTTCAACTCATAAATCAACTGTAAGTAACCAAGATTTAATAAAATTAAAAAAAATCTCAAACCAATATCAAATACAAACAGTTAAAGTTCATGCTAACCTTGGATTTTGACTTTTTGGAAGCTTTCTTATCCACTTCTTCTTTTTTGTATCTTGCTTCCTTCAACTAAAGCCATGAGTAATAAGTGTTAAAACCAAACCAAACAAAACAAAATTATATGTAGTGTTGAGATTGTAAAACCAACTTGAACAAAATAAAGATAATGTTTGTTAAACAACCTCAAAATTCTACATGGACATCTTTGCCAACAACAAAAACCATTTTCTATTCCAAGACATAACCAATGTTTTTGTTATAATCAAAGAAACCTAAACAAAGAACTTAAGAAAGTATACCAAAAAAATACTTAAACAAAAACATAGTAGCATCAAAGGGATAATAGAAGACAAATTCGTAGATATCCTCCTCAACCTAAATTCCTATAAGTAACAAGTAAAACCGTCATAATAGAAGAACAAATTCGTAGATAACCTCCTCGGCCAGAATTCCTAAGTAATAAGTAAAACCGTCAAAAAGCATGTTTATCCATTTCAATCAATAATAAATTTTAGTCTTCTATCATTTAAATTCATAAATCAATTGCAAATAACCAAGATTTAATAAAATTAATAAAAAGAAAACTCAAGCCAATATTAAATACAAACAATTAAAATTCATGCTAACCTTGGATTTTGAATTTTTGGAAGCTTTCTTTCCACTTCTTTTCTGCATCTTGCTTCCTCTAACTAAAGCCATAAGTAATAAGTGTTAAAACCAAAACGAACAAAACCAAACAAGACAAAATTATATATAGTGTTGAGATGGTAAAAGCAACCTGAACAAAATGAAGATAATGTTTGTTAAACAACCCCAAAGTCTCCTTCACTTTAGCATTGTCACTTTTTTCAGCCAAGTTTACAACATGATCACTTTTATCAGTCAAGTTTATAGCATTACCATTCACAGACTTGTAAACCATATGGTAACAGTTAGTTGAACAATTTGGGAAATCATATAGATATTCGAAAATGAGAATATAAATTCATACGAAAATTAGAAATAGTCAAACATGTGAAATATAGATATAGGAAACCAAAGGTAAAACCTACGAAACAGGTTCCTCCTCCCCCACAATTCACCAAAGGTCTAGCCTGAAAAAATGAGCACATAAATGAAGCTATATTATGTAAGTTTCAATGAAAACTATGAAGAAAACTATGAAGAAAACATATTTACATTAATGAGAGACAAAAACTTGCATATGGTCCATACAAATCAATATTACCATCCAGCATTATATTCCTAAGTTTCTGCCCTCCACATGTTGTTCTAAAATGCATATTTCAGTGCAATAGCAGTAAGCAGTCCATTAAAATAGATGTGGAATAGCACTAATTGAAAACCATTTTGTCATTTCAAGGGCTTAGCAGCTCCTTTCCTTGAATAACCTTCCAACATATCAAAGATTTATTAGATTAGATCCGTTTGATCTTTTCAAATAATTTAAAAAAAAAATAGTAAAACCNCATGAGTAATAAGTGTTAAAACCAAACCAAACAAAACAAAATTATATGTAGTGTTGAGATTGTAAAACCAACCTGAACAAAATGAAGATAATGTTTGTTAAACAACCTCAAAATTCTACATGGGCATCTTTGCCAACAACAAAAACCATTTTCTATTCCAAGACATAACCAATGTTTATGTTATAATCAAAGAAACCTAAACAAAGAACTTAAGAAAGTATATCAAAAAAATACTTAAACAAAAACATGGTAGCATCAAATGGATAATAGAAGACAAATTCGTAGATATCCTCCTCAGCCTAAATTCCTATAAGTAATAAGTAAAACCGTCATAATAGAAGAACAAATTCATAGATAACCTCCTCGGCCAGAATTCCTAAGTAATAAGTAAAACCGTCAAAAAACATGTTTATCCATTTCAATCAATAATAATTTTTTAGTCTTCTATCATTTAAATTCATAAATCAACTGCAAATAACCAAGATTTAATCAAATTAATAAATAAAAAAACTCAAGCCAATATTAAATACAAACAGTTAAAATTCATGCTAACCTTGGATTTTGAATTTTTGGAAGCTTTCTTTCCACTTCTTCTTTTCTGCATCTTGCTTCCTCTAACTAAAGCCATAAGTAATAAGTGTTAAAACCAAAACGAACAAAACCAAACAAGACAAAATTATATATAGTGTTGAGATGGTAAAACCAACCTGAACAAAATGAAGATAATGTTTGTTAAACAACCTCAAAAGTCTCCTTCACTTTAGCATGGTCACTTTTTTCAGCCAAGTTTACAACATGGTCACTTTTATCAGTCAGGTTTATAGCATTACCATTCACAGACTTGTAAACCATATGGTAACAGTTAGTTGAACAACTTGGGAAATCATATAGATATTCGAAAATGAGAATATAAATTCATATGAAAATTAGAAATAGCCAAACATGTGAAATATAGATATAGGAAACCAAAGGTAAAACCTACGAAACAGGCTCCTCCTCCCCCACAATTCAGCAAAGGTCTAGCCTGAAAAAATGAACACATAAATGAAGCTATATTATGTAAGTTTCAATGAAAACTATGAAGAAAACATATTTACATTAATGAGAGACAAAAACTTGCATATGGTCCATGCAAATCAATATTACCATCCAGCATTATATTCCTAAGTTTCTGCCCTCCACATGCTGTTCTAAAATGCATATTTCAGTGCAATAGCAGTCCATTAAAATAGATGTGGAATAGCACTAATTGAAAACCATTTTGTCATTTCAAGGGCTTAGGAGCTCATTTCCTTGAATAACCTTCCAACATATCAAAGATTTATTAGATTAGATCCGTTCGATCTTTTCAAATAATTTTAAAAAAAAAATAGTAAAACCCCACAACACAACACACAGAATGTCACATTTTTCCTCAAGTTTCTCGCCATCCAAACACTAATAAATAAAATGCAAACGAAAACAGAACAAACAAATAGAAATTACTAGTCCTAGCTCAATTTCTTGCCTTCCACTGTACTTTGACTATGATTTTGTACCAAAAATTAATCCAAAAAATCCACGACAAAACATAGATAAACAAATACTCGAGAGATGGCTCCCGGTCTGATTGCATGTCGTCGGCTCTCCATCCTCGTCATGATAACTACACATCCAATTCAATTTGATCAACTCATTTATCAAAGAAACCCTGGCTTTCAATACGAATAAAAACCAAGAAAAATAAGAAAAAAAGCAAAGAGGAATTGAGAAAACTTACAGCTCTCTGATTCAGTTCAGATATGGAGAAGCAAAGGTAGAAACAACAATGACTCCTCTTTTAGCCAATTTGAAGCGTTTGTATGTGAATGTGAATGTGAAGCGTTTGTGTTTATGTGAAATTAATCAAGTTTTAATTAGACATTTAGATGCTCAATATGTGCTATTAATTAATACTAAAAAATATCAAACACCACATTATCACCAATCACATGCAACCACATGTCAACCACACATCTAACATGTCAAAATGGAGCAATTCTGAAGCTTTTGTATGACAAAATGGAGCAATTATAGGGCTTTGAAAATCCTATGTGTCAATCAGTTAGGCTATGCTTAAGGATTATAGATATATATAGACAAGCCAAAAATAAATATCATAAAGTTGTATTACTCTTTTAAATTTCATATCCAAGTAATTTGATATTAATTTAAAATTGTTTTGCAAATAAGAAAACAATATTAATATCATATCCCTTGTAGTATAAAATTTGAGATAGAACATTAAAAATAAAACAACATTTAGTTTATAATGTAAATTTATTTATTTTGGAGAAAGGACGATTGTTAGATGGATTTAAAAGTTAAAAAAGTGAGGTCAAGATTTAATAACTAAAACCAAAATTCCAAATTCAGTAACTGTCAAAAGCTAAAATGAAAAAAATTGTTTTAAAAAGTGAAGTCAAGTTTTAGTAACTAAAAGTCGCCGATTTCTTCTCCTTTTTATACTCCACATGTCACGTTTAAGCCCCTGTTACAACAAATGCCTAACTTTTTGAAAATTTTCTTTTGTGTTTTTTTATTATTTAATAAAATTTAATTTAAATCCATTTCATATTATGTCCTATCATTTCATTTCATTTCATTATAGTATATATATAATGAAGAAATCACAGTATAAAGTTATAGTTGATTTTGAGCATTTAACGACAGATTTGTAGTTATAAAAAAGAGTAAACAACTTTTTCCACCCAAGGTTTGCCTTAATGGCAGTTTCTCATTGAAAAAGTTTTAAAATACCACTTTCCCACCCAAAGTTTATATTCTATTAATATCTAAAATACACTTCACTTTCTTAGTCGGCATTCAACAAGTTACCAAGAGCTAGGTAAAAATGGTTTTGTAAAGTAGAGATCATCGGATTGAATGGCGATGACCGATTGAATATTCGTAGTTAGAAATCAACTAAGAACAGGAAATCAACTAAGAACAGGAAATCCTGCTTTGCAGTGACCGACAATTGACGAGAAATCAGGTGTTGAAGTGAGAGGGATTTTGTAGAGAGGAGACTGAAGGTTCAAATGGTGGAGAGAATTTTCGTCACTGGAATAGGCCGAAATCGGCTTTAGGAAATAACGGACTATAAATTTTGGATGGAAAAGTGGTATTTTGAAACCTTTTGGGTGGGAAAGTGTCAATAAGACAAACCTTGGGTGGGAAATAGTAGTTTAATATATATATATATAAGACCCTTTTCTAAATACGTATTGTACACAAAATTATTGAAACAAATCACAAAAATAGTGACAATAAACGGATCAAATTAAAAAGATAAGGCAAGAAATTAGAAAAAAGGAGAGATTGAGAAGATTGAAGAGGCGTTGTAATTGTGGATAAAGCAAAGAGGGGGGATAAAAATTTAACCAATTAACATTTAAAGATTGATATTTGCGTTATGTTTAGTGGGTTAATTTGGCCATTAATTATTGTTATGTCACGTTAAGAGTCAAGCTATTTGCTTAGTTTTCGATTGTAACGTTTGTTTGTATAATATTAACTTATTCCTTTGATTCTCAAGCTACATGTACGTGCATTGATTGTATCTTGTATATGCTATCAATTTTCATCAAGCTCAGCTTTTTCTTAAAAAAGAAACGATACAAGGAAAAGAAAGAAAACGTGTCTAAAATTTTCTTTTTCTCTTACGTAATTATATTTAAGATTGTGCACACGTTAAAGTAGTAAAAAATAAAAAATAAAATTACCATATCAATGTATTAGAAATTGAAGCACACATTAAGACAATTCATATATATAATTCCTCAAAAAAAAATTTAGATTCATTAAAAACTAATAAAGAGGAGAGTCAAGATGTATATATAGTTATATACTTGAATTACATTTGACATCTCATTTTACTTTATCTGTCTTATTTTATTGTGTTATATAAGAATCAAACGACAAATATCCATTTTCCTTAGGATCAAAATTTATCTTCTTAGAAATTTACTTATAATCATTAAGAAATAAAGATGAGAAAGATATTTATTATCAATGTCATGTTTGTAACTATAATATAAGTCTTTAGATCAAGTGTAATATATTACACAAAAAACCAAAAAAAAAGCAATAATAATATAATGAAAATATTTTAGGATTAAACTATTCATAAAATAAAAACTATATGTAACCCAGATACATCCAAAAATTAACCATAAATGCAAGCTTTCAAAGCATCTCGTAAGGGTAGTTTCGACAAGAAACCTTAAAATCAATTTTGAAAAAGCAAAATCCCTTCTCAGCTTGCTCCCAATTCATGCAAATCCACTATCCAAAACTCAGTTCATTTTTAAAAATCTTATAAATACCTCTCTCAACCGTTTCAACTCCACCACCACTCTCCCTCTTCCTTCAACTCCTCCAAAAAACTTCTCAACAAAAATGGCAAACAAAACAGGTTACGGTCTTCTTCTTCTTCTTTCACTTAATCTTCTATTCTGCTTCCCTTCAAGTTCAGCAACTTCCAGTGGTTTCAATGTCATCTCATTCGGAGCGAAAGCTGATGGCAAAAGTGACTCAACCAAGGCGTTTCTTGCTGCTTGGGCTCAGGCATGTGGCAAAAGAATCTTTTAAAATAAATTATTTTACATATTTAGTTGATCATGACATTTCCTCACTTCAAAGTAGGTTTGAACAATTTGAAATATCCCTGATCATACGAATAGTTGTTTATATATGAAATGTATATATTTTATTTAAGATAACCTCGCCAGAACAAAGATATTTATTAAACGAATAGAAACTACATGATGTAAAGTACGGACGGGCTAGCTCCATGGAAGACAAGTATGATTACCAACTAGAGGAAGCATACAAGCAATAATCCAGTTGCATTGTCTGCAATCATCTATTTTCGAGTCGAAAATTTTGACATTATGAGATTGGCCAGAAATAGAAAACTGCAATACAATTTAATTGTTCCAAGAAGCATCGCAGATAATTATGTATGGCACCAGCAGAATCAGAAACAAGATAGGAATGTTGAATGGATTCATGCTTGTTATTGATTATTAGAAGGGGAAAATCTGCAAGAATGGAGAGGAATTTTCTTTTATTGAGGTTTGGGGACTGTGTATCTAAAAATGAGAGCCTGAATCCAAAGTATGTGACAGATCGTCTATCAATGTTATATCCATCTATAGAATTTTACATGTGGAAGAATTTTTGTTTGTGTGACTACATATTGATGTTTTAATGGTAAGTTTGAATGGAAGATTAAATTTATGTCTGGGCGTTAGGCATCCCCTTGATTTAAGGCCTTATTAATAATAGACATTAATAAATCCTAACATTTAAGTTAGTATTTATTGAATTAATCCAAAAATTTCAATTACTTCTTATAATAAGGCTAAATATTTAAAATTGTTTGTTGTCTTATTAAATATTTATAACATATTTTGAATAATACAACTCATCCTAAAACATTCCCCAAAAATCACATTTCAAATGATGTGTTACCATTTGTGCCTTGATGTGTAAATAAATTAAAAGTAATACTACACATACTAAATACTTATCGGAATTTCATATCCCAAATGATGTGTCACATATGGACATTGCCATATCATTTGATACATCGTCACTTTATTTACTTGTTAAAGCCATGTATGATTACATATAATTTGGGATATGGAATTTGGGTTAAATTTTGAAAATAGTAGTATTATTGTTGGTAAATTAATTATGTGTTAAAGATATATATGACAATGCCAAATGCTTTTTTTTGGGATATGTTTCGGAATTAGTATTACTCATATTTTTTAGCGTCAAATCTTATAATTATATATTTCCTTTTGTAGTAAAATATATTACATAATATTATTTTCTAATTGAAATTTGATTTAACTCTTTTTCTTTTTTTAATACTCGCGGGAACAAGGAGATTTATTAAAGAAAAAGAAACAACATGACATTAAGTCTCAGGATGGGATCCATGGAAGACAAGTACGATTGCCATCTAGAGTAGGCATTCAAGCAAGACTAAATTGCGAGGTAATAATCCAATTGCATTATCTACAGTCATCTCTGTTCGAGTCGAAAATTTTGATTACATGGGATTGGCCAGACCACAGAAAAGTGCAATAGAATTTAGTTGTTCCAAAAACCTCATCTCGGAAATTGAAAGACAAAGTCTGATCTTTAACGATTGTTATGTCATGAAGGTTGGTTGATTTGCAATTCATAGTAATTAATGTTGTCGCCAGTCGTTTCTAAACCATTAAGGATACTTATATTTCTTCTTGGTTGATGGAACTTAATGAAAAGGACATCACAATAGATCATGTATGGCACCAGCATAATCAGAAACAAGATAAGATTGTCATCAAATGGATTCATGGTTGTTACTGATTATTAGGATGGCAAAATTAAAACTGAAAGAATTGAGAGAGGAATTTCCTTTTTATTGAAGTTTTGGGGACCTGTATTAAAAATGAGAGGGAATAGAAAGTATATTTAACAAAACCTTAATGAAGTTAAATTAAACGGGGTGTCCTGTTTAAAACAAATCTAATCTTCCCCCGTATTTCCATGCTTAATATTGCAAGATATAAAAGTCAAACACAACAAATTAAAACAATATTATTCTTATTAATTATTTAACCATGAAAAACTCAATTGCAAAATAAACTTTCAAACAAAATATTGCCTTACAAAGCAATTAATAACATTGATAATTAATTAAATAATTAACCAGTCCATGAGTTTACAATATTCCAATTAGACTGATCATAGCCAATATAAAATCCATCCTCTCTGACAGAAGAATACACATGTCTATAATCTCTATCTCGCACAGGCTCAAATGCCATCCAAATTCCATCCTTGTCACGCCATATAGCTTTGCATACAAATCGAAATTT